TTGCTTGTTTCATTCGTATACTGATAACGTAGTCATCGATTTAGACTAACATCTTTGTAGATATTAAACTTGCCAAAGAATCAAAGGCTTGATTGAATTTGTTTTGAGTCCCTTTGAAATGGGGTGTGTTGGAGAGAATTCCAACTTTGTCATATGAATATCAATATTTTCTATATTTAGGATTTGCTGGTCATACATCGTGAGATAAAAGACAAATATCCAATAACCTGATTCAAACTTTCAAAGAAGCGATTTTACTGAGGCGATATGACCTTTACCTTTTGACTAAGGTTCGTCAACAGGCAACCACGTCAATAAACACTGTATGTCGAAGGTCTGATGAAATCTGTATAAAATAGGTTTTGATAATATTAAAAGCGCTTAAATGTACCACACTATTCTGCTCCTCTGCAAGAGGGAGGGATATGTCCCTGGAAGTGCATTTACATAGTCAATAACCGACATTTGCTACACAGCCTCTTCATCACTATCACACTCCGGTACTTCATGACGCCCCTGTGAACGGTGAGGAATAATAATACGTCCACTATTTGAATAAGTACAATTGTTTATTGCACCCAACCGAACCCCATCGTCATATGTATAGAATTTGGAATGACTATAAGAAAATATATCAGTACGAGACTTTAGTTAATACTTCTGGGTGAGACTATAACCTGGCGTATTTGGTTTTCTGATGGAACCTCAGTAACCAATAATAAGATATGACACGATGAAATGCTCCTCGCAAACCATAACATGAGGTACTAACTTAACAGTGTGTTTGGTGCTTTGGGTTTACGTGCATCCTCAAGGGGTGTTGTGCTTCTAATACCATGTTACCCCTGGTCAGAATCCTGGTATACATCCACTGGAATGTTCATATTCAACTACTGTCTTTCTCTTCTTATCACATTAAGCCGATACATCCACTGGAATGTTCATATTCAGCAACTGTCTTTCTCTTCTTATCACATTAAGCCGACAAGCTGTGGCGTAATTGAAATATCTTGGAAAGAGCAATTAAATCCTGTTTTATCACTCAGTAAAGCAGCTATAGAACAAAAAATCTGTTGCTTGAATCAGTTTATAACTATATCATTCAGTAGTCGTTTGATTCGGAGATGTGATTTTTAAAATTATTCGCTTACATTTTGGTTGGACCTTTTCTTCTGACAGGTATACGATTATGAATACCGCATAAGGAATGACGTTTACAGTTTTAGCCATTGTTTTAGTCATCTTAAATATCTTGTAGTTTTAAATATATCTTTCGATATTTCATTTTGATGAATCATTAATAACATTATTATTTCATATGTTCTTCATCAATTGCGTAGTTGGCAACAGTTCACAGAGACACAAGAGAAGCATAAACTCTAATACTGATGATGAATAGGAAGTATATGTCATCCCAAATAACCAATTTACCCGCCTAATGGGATCCACTGACAATCAACACTATGTGGGCCCATCACAATGTATTCTGGCATTGATGTAGCGCCGTTGTGGTCACATGGGTCAAGCTACAGTCTGATGCATTATAACCTGACACAGTTCGTCCTTTACTTCTTTTGCTGAATATTAATATAAAACTCACAATCTTTGTTCTCTCCTATCAATCTTGATGATGGATGCAAATGGCAGTGAATGGACGTTTACTGTCAGATATCAGCCAGCGAATGACGTTAATGTTGAATTGATCATTCCATCTATGTATATTTATTTTCATGTTATCCCGTTCTAGGCAGTTCTTCATTTCACAAAATCAACTTACTTATATCAGCTTTCGTGAACGTGGTACATTGGAAATTTGTGCACCCAGCTGTTTGATGTAAAACCACCTCATTAACTCCCAAAGTCCCAAAGGGCGATCGAAAATGTATTGAATTCACCTATGCTTCGTGCCTATATTATTCCACGGAGCTATGATTATGTCAAGACGATCGAGTTACATCGTCTAAAACGATGCACCGAATTTTGTATATTCTAGACATTTCACGGTGGGCGAGCTGGCTAAGGCGCCAGGCTAGTGATCCAGCGAGGTTGAGGTGTCGGGATCGAGCCCACCTGTGACCGGGTGTAAAAACCTTGTGTGCAGACTCTTTCAGTGTTGTCACAACCCCTAGTGTACAGTACACAACCCTGTGCACTTAAAAGAACCCACGAATCCGTTGGTATTTGACTGACTGACTGAGTTTAGTTTTCGCCGCTTTTAGCAATATTCCAGCAATGTTGGTATTTGACCAGATGGTGGCCACATGAATACGTGCAAACACCTAGTTGCGGGTACAGCAACGTGCAGTGAACATGGACAAAGTACTGGGACTATGTGTCCCAGTCCACCCAGCTGTGAATGGGTACCTCGTTAGGATGAGAAAGCCACAATAACTCGGAGCGCCTAGTGGCTGCAAGAGTTGTATACTCCCCAGGGTGTTGAGATTGATAATGCGATGTGCCGTTGAGATTGACATCCAATGATCGAGTGAAAAATACCAGCGCCTTGAGCATGCACTAGTGCGTGGATATGTGCGCTATCTAAATATCCTATAAAAAAAAAGAGAGTATAATTGCGTAAGTTTTGCGAAACAAACCACAATGTATTACACTGAATATTTTATCTTCATTCACACAAATAATGTTAAAACGACACACAGGTTCACGTGTGTTCGTTTGTTTGTTGTTGAACACCGCACTCAGCGTATGTCCTTTGTAGGGACGGTGGGTTAGCCTAGTGGTTAAAGCGTTTGTACATCACGCTGAAGACCCGGGTTCGATTCCCCATGTGGGTACAATATGTGAAGCCCATTTCTAGTGTCCCCCGCTGTGATATTGCTGGGATATTGCTTAAAGCGGCGTAAAACTAAACTCACTCACTCACTTATTAACATTATATACTGTTCATCAGCTGTAGACACTAAGGTATGACATAATTCTTGTAACGTCTTGCTGGTGTTTCTTACATGTTCAAATAACCGTCAGCGACTTCATTTCATTTAGAAAATCCCACATTTCGACGATTTCAAAATGTCACTTGTGTGAAAATATTTTCGTCACTGAAACATATACTACAGAGGTCTATTGACTCAGAGGTGACCGGTTTATAATACCAAAAACCAGAATGCCGTAAAGTTTACATATACAAAAGTGTAGGATATGAAAATATTTGGTTAAAACAAATATGGTGCATGAGTTCACTGGATTTGGGAGTGACATCCAGTAGGCATGAAGTTAACCCAATGTTGATAACATAATTTATCATAATTATGATTGCATGCTAGTTGTCGTTTGCCTGCTTGGTAGTGAAGTAGTCTGTGATGAGAAAATTGTCTCGTTAAGCTGACGACCTGTATTCGATTCCTCAAATGTTGTGATGATCTCTGTATCCTCGCTGTGATGTTACTGGAATATTGCTATAAGCGACATGAAACCTCACTCACTCACTAGCGACACCAACACATGTGTAAATAATTATTAAACCTGATCTTGGACGAGGTCAGACCTAGACACGATAACATCGATATTTGTCAGCTCTGGGGAATGACCTTTCTCCAAACACAGAGCCCAGCAGGTGGGTATTCTGTGACGCTTAATCATTACCACATATAGCAGCCTCGATGCATAATTGTCAGCTTGATCACGGTCCTTCTACCTTTGCGTCTGTCCTGGTGCGATGCCCGGATGTCTGGATACTTATCTCTATCTAACGCACAATCACAGACAATGCAAAGACGCTCTGATGAGCGGATGCAGGGGAAATGGATTTCATTTCGTACCACAGAATGGTTATCAATGGCAATTGTGGAACATGAGAAATGAGCCTGTTCTTTCAGTAGCGATGCGAATGTTCTTCTGTAATATATAACTCTGTAATTTGCACACATGCTGAAGGACAAATGAGATGTAGAATCTAATTAATCTTGATTCGATAGAGGCATATCAGACTCAGATCAGGTGCCAACAATGAACATGTCATTAGGCAGTACCATTTACATCGTATCTCATCTCTAGCTGGGTAGGTGCAGTTAACAATACCTTGTATGTGGCGTATGTTATGTAGCATAAATGTACACACGGGGATTTATATTCTCTTCAAAATAAGTAGGGGAACCTGCACTTTCAATTTCGATAGGAAGTATGAGCGTTAACAAACTTTTCAAAGACAGACATGTTATGAACGCACCACCATTTCTCTTTATCACCAGCCCTAAACACAACGCATGGGATGCACGTGCACAAGGCAGTAGCCCCATACAGGTGCATGAGGTGTCGTTCTTGATTTTGACGGTTTTCAAGAAGGTTGATTTTTTGGTTTGAAAATGAAAACCGTACACAAATTTCACTTCAAAATTATAAATGAAGTTCCCCTATTTTTTAAAGAGTATACGTGCACGAGGGGCTTGTGTGAGAGACCTACTGTCGTAGAAAATTCTCTACGGGCAAAATTATGACGTGATATTGATCTTGTTATCGATAGTATGTGTTCACTCTTTCGATGTTATTACTGACTGTTGAGTGTGATAGTTCTTGAATTTCCCCTTCTATAGACCATTTCTTGTAACAGATATGCCACTATGAATAACCTTAAGGCATTGACTTTAATGATTCTTAAACTTTTAAAACTACCATCCCCAGAGTAATGGTTTCAAAACCATCAACATGTTTGTTTTTACCATGACCGTGGCGCCAAGATAAAATATGTCAGTGTTTGAGCGCTTCGTCGTTATCATTCTCCTGGAGAACGTTTGTATGTTTTTGTTGATATTTAACCTTGGAGCGTTAATGGACTCACCCTCTTGAGAGTGTCCGTCTTCTGTGGGAAATGGCATTCACATCTATGTACGATAAATCCCAAATCATTTGAAAACCCTTTGGTTATTTTACTCCATCCATAATGTCCCTGTCAGTAGATGCATCTGTCAAAAGTAAATTTAAGTATTCTCACGATAATGTGAAGAAAATGTGGAGACCTACTTATGAATTGATTTTCTGTTTGCCAGACTGTTCGAGACGCATCCGGATGTACAGGACGTGTTCTATCCGTTCAAGGGTCAGAGCTCAGAGGACCTCAAGTACAGCTCCCAGCTCAAGTCCCACGCTCTGCGCGTCATGGGCACTGTGGAAAAATGCCTAGCTAGGATCAACGACCCTAAGAAGCTGGTGGAGCTTCTCCACGATCTCGGTGCCCGACACGTCATGTACAATGCTAGAGTGGATTACATTGACGTGAGTATCTGTTAGAGTAATTCAAAACAGACCCTCTTGAATGCATATGCCAAACTGAATCGTCTTCCTTGCTTTCACAAGTAGATGAGCAGAGTCTACTTAAAGTCATCGGCCCAATGAAAAAAGAGGGATTTCCTTTTAAACAAACATCCTCATTATAGAAAATGGTAGAAGGCCTGGTGAAAATCATAGGATAGTGCCTGGTATTATGAAAAATAATCGACATATAGGCGGACACAGATACACAGATGTTCACTGATAGAAAGGGGCACAAAATAACACGCATATGCACAGACAGAAAGGCTGACCCAGATACACAGATATGCTCCAATACCAAGGTTGATAGAGATACAGACGGCACAGGCATCGGGGAACATATACTAAGATAGTAAGGCGGATGCAGATAGAAAGGCAACCAAAGGTACAACCAGATTCCAAGATAGAAAGGCGGATGCATGTCCAAACACTGAGGTACTCATTTGGAACGAAATGTAGTGTATTGCCTAATAACGTTCTTAAGATCTTCAACAAATAGCCAAACAAAGCCCGGATACTGATGTTATAAAAATAAAGTTGATACGATCAGTTATATTGCGAAAGTGTATGAGAAAAACAGACACTTCCACGAAAATGCGAGCATCCTGTCTTTCAAATGAAAAGAATTAAAAAGTTCAATATTTCAAAATATTTTTGTAGAGTATCTTTTCAATAGAGCTCCCTTTGATAAAACCTGTAATTGTGCTGAAATCTTATACCAGCGCTTCTTGCTCAGTAAAACCAATTAGTGTCCAATATCAGTCATTATTTCTTACACTGTCATGCTAAAACCTCCTACACTTCCAAGCGATTCATCTCCATTCGAATAGGATAAAAGCTTATAACAAGTACATCAAACACACCGGATATGTAGAGAGTAAAGCCAAACATAAATAAAGTAGTGAAGACGTTTCGAAAGAAGCTCCCATTTCGCTCTCCTTTGAAGAAGGATAACATCGTGTTACCTTCATACAAAAAAACTATGTTCGTTAACTTTATCATTAAGACAGTTTTCAAAGGTGATCTTTAATATAGTGCAAAACACACTTTAAAATGGGAGTACTGCAATCGAGGAAATAATGTAATGCCTTGAGGAAGCCAGCCTCCTGACGTCCGATTTCCACATAAACACTGAATTACCTGGCATGATCTCCTCCCAGGAACATCTTCCCACACAAAGGGTGCTTCTCAAGGAGGTTCTCATGCAAGTTGAGCTATTCAGGCGGCGGTTTCACTTCACTTAGCTTAGGGGGCTTTGTAGAAATCTTCTATTTTGTATTGATTTTTCACCCCGGAGATCTGACTCTTTACTCTATTTGGCGGTGTATTCGCAATATGCAATTTATCTGAAATTCTCTTGTAACATAAATGGTCTTCAGGGCATGGCATTCATGGCATATTTTAAGAGCCTTGATAAGAGTATCTTTCAGTGCAGTGTTCATCCAATAAATTCAACAACCAGAATTCTGAGTGGCATTCATGTAACATTAATTTCAGCTTCCATAAAGGGAAGTGTATAGATCTCCTAATAATTGAGTGACAGGCCATTTAACATCGTGATTGAAGACTTTCACGTGGTATTTCAAAAGTTAATGTGTATTCCTTTGATTAATACAAAGAGCATCTTAGAGAATGAATACGATGAATGTTGTGAAGTCGTCATGTGTCGAATTTCTTTCTTTAAAAATCTTGCTGTCAAATTAATATTTGTCGTGTTGATTAGTAAAAAAATCCACTTTTCCTCTCTAAGACAACATTGATCTCTCTGGTATACAGAAACAGCCATAATAATGGTATTTTCTATATTGTGCCTTATGATTCACGATTTCATGACGTGCTATTATTAGATTATAATTGGAAGGGAAAAAAGTTGAGAATGATGCAGTTTTAACCTAATTGGAGACAGTCTTTTTGATCACGGGACCATCATTAGGTCGGTACCCATGGCGCCTCGTGACATTTCCTGAAGCAAAACTCAGCATATATTCATTAGTTTCAGACCTTTCCCTTTAACAGATATGTAGCTGTTTTTATGGCAAAACATGCGCTAAAATCTCCTGGGGTTATTTTAAGCGTTTCCTTTCAATGATTAATGATATCAGTTTATTTGTATTTTGATGCAAAAAATATGAAAGTCTTACAGTTCAGATGAATATTGAAACGTTATAACGTTTTAGTATAATGTGCACGATCTTTTTAAGTAAAATAATTGTTATTTGTACTCAAACCATTGTGCTCGTCACATATTGTTATGTCATGTTTGTCGTCTCAGCTCTCTGTGTGTGTGCGTGCGCGCGTGTGTGTGATTTCTTAAGGTTTACACGACCTATCATGCGAATTGGTGGTTCTTCCACTTTACACGTTATTATTCACTCAAGGACAGTTATTTGGACATTATTATGATTTAGTGCATAAATATATTCATACATGTATATTCATCATTACATTATTGATATAGATGACGCTTTAGGTATGTAAGTAAAGGGAACGTGCATAGCTAGTGAGGAATGCAATATTGTGAACACATCAGGAGTGAGTGAGTGAGTCGCCGCCTTATGCAATATTCAGCAATATCACGGCGCTGGACATCAGAAATGGGCTTCACTCATTGTACCAATGTGGAGAATCGAACCCGGGTCTTTGGCATGACGAGCGAACGCTTTAACCACTAGGCTACACCACCGCCTACTCAACACATCAGGAACATTTACAGTTATCGTTATACGTTTTTCAGTATCTTACGTATACTGTACATGGCCACTGCGGCTACGTACTCAACGTAGCTTGCGTATCTTGGCTACAGACAGCGCGGTTTGTTGCTCATGGTTTCCAGTCAAAGATGTTTATTGTACAAAAGGCCTCCGGCCCATGTACATTGGAGTTATACATATACATCATACATATGTTGCAATAAGTAGTAATTAGTGATCCAAACAGCGTTTTACTCACTAGTTTGTCCGGTCGACCTTTGATTAAATACAGGGAGACTGGATATACCTGGCATATTGGTGATGACGGCAGTGAATTATAGCTAACATTCTCTGGCATTGGAAAGTAGTTACATTTCATATTAATACCGACAGATGGTTCTTTCATTATGTAGATTCTTTGTTTGCTCTGATAAAGATATTTATATTTCAGCTAATCGGTCCTCAGTTTATTTGGGCCATTCAGCCAGTAGTTGGAGACAAGTGGAACCCGGAGCTAGAGCAGGCATGGTCGGATGTCTTCAAGTTCATCAGTCATATCATGAAGGAAGCAATGACATTCTAGATTACGAGGTGGGAGAGACAGCAGGCTAAAGACACGGGACTCTCAAATAATTGATGCAGACACTTGCGATCACCGTGAAATTGGTGACAGTTTTGAAAGATCAAAGATTACAGATCAAAGATTTTCATGTTGAATTAAACATAAGCAGTGCTGACTGAAATATATCTTGGGTAAATTGTACATAAATATAAAACACCATGGTATTTCGGCTGATTTGCGCATTGCTGACCAAACCCATTCAATCATCCTACATGCAATGTTTACAGATGGCTACATACGATATAAAGATTGCTTGTGGGATTAGCTTACAGAGACGGTGTCTCCGACAATCAGCCGAGATGATCATCTGGTGAGCAGGCATTCAGAGGCCAGGCAGAACTTGCCGTTGGACATTTGGCAATGACAGAAAGCCATTTGTGCCTGTTGGTTTATGGGGAGACTTCAAAGGAACGGTCTTTTGAATGAAGCCTCTTAACGCCAACGATTATGTATTAGGATGAGAAGATCTCTCGCGCCTTTGATAGGGAAATTGTTCCCGTAAAGACCGCTCCGTCTCTACTTAACTGTCCATACACAGCCTGAGGATGATAACGGGAAAGGCAAGACGACGTTATTAGTGAAGCGATGGTTCTTCAGTATGGGTTCCCTCTTCGTCAGCGATGATGTGAACTGGACAAACTGGGGTCGATCTTCACTAAGGAGATGGGTTTAGGCTATGTTTAGCATATATGTTCTTTGTCTTTAACTTTTTGTTTTGTTTATAGGTCTTCTGATGGTTCCATGTGACAATCTTGCTGCATAACAGTTTAGGAGTTGCCCCTTGCCAGCACACGTTCTATGAATATATGCACCATACACCAATTACGAGAATAGGTTGTCGTGGTATAAGAGACAATGGATTGATCATCAGTGGTTTAGCATAGCAATGATCAATAAATCTATCATTTCTTTTATCTTCAAGGAAACCATTTAGCATTCAGACTTTTATCACTGAATGGTTTGTCTCTTCTTGGCTTATTTTACATATCCGTTTATACAGTAGACTGAGTTATTACCTCATTGCGAAACACACAAGTCTAACTGTTGGTCTGAAAATGGTAATTTGTAAGTTGGTTTAGAGTTGTTTACCTGATCATATCACTCACACGGAAAACAGATCCGTGAGTTTAGTGTTTCTTGTAACCAGTCTCAAAATATCAGGGAAGCACTAACGTCATATGATTAACAATTAATAGACTTTATATTGCATATGGCCAAGTCAAGGTTTGTGTTTATTTGTTTGTCAGTTACACGCTGTTATTTGTCCTATTTTGTGTTCATGTTTGTATCCGACACGTAATTCTATTGTGATTGTCGGTGTGACATTGTTAGTACAGCAATAAAATGAAGGCAATCACTTTATACACGCTCTGTGCTAAAACCTGTTTTTGTTCCTTATTTATTACACATTTTATATTAGATTATTTGCTTACTTTAGAAATAATTCCTTAACGCACCTTGTACAGTTTACACATAATTATGAAAATAAAAACTAAATGTCAGAAAATGTATTCTTTTATTCGATCTTTACAGAAATTTTATAGATTCCCTTGTACAATGAAAAGATGCAGCTTATTGTTCTCAGACCTTTAGCTACAATTAGTAGTCAAGAGGAAATTCCAGTTCACCTTCCAAGGGGCTAGATATATGAAGTCATCAATGGCCCACTGAATTGCTGTGTGTTTATATTGTCATTATAGAGAAACTTGTGAAAAGATGCAATTTTGCAAGTCGCCTCCATGTACGCATTAAGTCATCAAGTGGCCCTTTTGATTAGTGTGTTTCTATTCTGTCATTATATAGAAGCTATTGATAAGATACTATTTTGCAAGTCAAAACCCCTGTGGTTGACAGGTAAAATATTACATATTGAAACATTGGAAATTGTAAAATATAAAAGCAACAAAACTCTTTCCATAATTGTACGAAAGCTCAACTGAAGGAGCTCTCCATTTTGTCTATATGTGTTTTTGAAAACCGACGACCAAATACATACCAAAACAGTAAAGGTTCACCTAAAGCAAAAACAAACAAGAAATCCTTCAAAATCAAACCAAAATTAAAATAGATATAAATTGATTAAAACAGAATAAATCACACGGCAATATACACATATACTTGTACATGTGTGGTACAAATCAAATGATATTTGTGTCGGACATAACTTTTGTCCCTGGTACGTATAATTTGGAAAGGCCACATACATGCATACAATAAATGTTTGGAATATTTACTGTGGCTTTGCATGTTGTAACCTAATCAAACAGCTATTGAATCAATCGCTTTGAAATATTCGCAGAAAGAACAGGTTCGATTGTACCTTAAAATATCCGAAATGTAGACAAAATCTTGCCATTAGGGTTTTGCCTCTCTGAACCTCAGTCTTATTAAAATCAACCATCTAAACAAAGATCTGAGAACATCTCATAAAGGATCACGTCAGAACGACCTGACATTTGACGGACCAGTGAAATGCCTTAAAGGAAGCCCATGCACCACGTCTGAAAGCACGTTTCTTGAGCTTAAGGGTTTTCATTCCAGAGTACGGTTGGAGAAATATGATAAGTTTTTACATTTCAGAATTTAGACACCGAAGAAAGAGGGAATTTTGTAATTTCTAAAAGATGGCCGAGACATTACGGCAGTGTTTCCGACGAGCTATCTTCAGCTAAATCCGTGAAGAAAGCCAAACGTGCTGCTGGTCTCAGATATTCACCACTTCAGTGAAACCTAACATCATATCCATGGTGCTGTTAAATCTAGCCCCTTTTTACACGAACACAGAATACATATTTTAATAAGACGATATATCTCCTATATATAATTCTGATAATTATAACGATAGCGTATCATTTCGATTTTTACTCCCACGTTATCATTACGATTTTTACGGGATGATGTACAGCTGAGGTCTGTTGAGGAGCATAATAAAATTGTATTGTTTTGGATGGGGCACAGTTCATGCCAATGAATGCAATTACGAATTTGTAACACTTACCGTTATCTATAACAGTTAACCTTTCTGAACACATTGCATAATTACGAACTAAAAGTTCATTAGAGCAGAGTAAAACAGGCACGAAAAGGAATAACTAACCAGCCAAACATGAACACTGAAACAGTCCCGATAGAACTGTGTTATCATCTTCGGTCGTAACTTATCATGTTATGAGTGAGAACCATTCTTTGGGGACTAGAAATACACGATTAACACTGGAAATTGCATAGAAATCTGTTATAATTTCCATTAAGAAAATATAGTAATCTTGTATGATGCAATTTCACATCAACCGCTGGAGCGTAAAATCGAGTTTGTACATTAACCAATTTCTTTGAAGCGATGCTATCTCTGTGTGATCAACGTCCTTCTAAACATATATTCTGGGACAGAGCCATTATTGATTGTGCAAAATATTTGCAAACAGCGGATATTTTACATAAATATTAGTAAGGGATGATGTTTTTCAAGGACTTTGGCAGGACCGGATGTATCAGTATACCATTGTCATTCAAATATATTGTTTTCTCTGTAGGCTTTCATTACAAACCAGACACACTGTTTTCATATTGGTCCCATTAATATAACCAATGTGAGCAGTATCTTAAGAACAACAATCAATTTATTAAGATGAAGGAGATCCAAGTCCCCAGGAATACAGAATATATAGAAAAAGTCGAAAACAGGTGCAAAATCGTATTTGTATATCAAGTATAACGAGTACAGGGTACATCAGACATATATATAATGTTTGGATCGAAATGATTTGTTAAATCATTTAATTGAAAAGATTCATATTATATGATGCCCCTCCAAATGACAATAGGTAAATCCATAGTGCCTCTTTTGAAATACTGTGTTATGCTTGTATTTCTATGCTTTTTAGCAAACGTTACGACGATACAGAGAACCACATCTTGGATAAATCAACATACAATGAAATAACTTCTGTGGAATGCAATTTTCATATTCACCCAGAATTCTTATGGAATCACTTCACCGCAAAGACCCATACATTCCTTAATCGACCCAATGTTGCCTCTTTGCAAAATGTGAGAATAATAAATATGTAATAACAAATATAACATTTACTGCTCAACACAGACCAGACTTCACTACATGTTACAGTCAGAACACAAGAGCAATGGCAAACTCAAGTACTGATCACGAATTAAGATGTTATACTTAGGGAATTGGGAAATTACCGAAAGGAAGTTCTAGTGAATGATTAATTGACGTTTCTGCTCATCACTCTTACTATTCAGTCTGTGAGGTTAAATAGACATGTATCAGAGTTAAGAGCATACATGGACAGCAGCAAACTGTTACGAAACTGACGTCGTAGCGCATTGTTTCGTCTGTGTATGTTGTTCTGACTGCATTCCAAATCAAGTGATAGGGCTTTTTAGCATAAGTGGAATATCTGGGGCGCTAAAAGTGGTCTGGTTGATCAGTATTGCACGCACAAATGACGTCATGTTTTTGTTTCGAGGTCGATGGAAGTGAATCTGCAAGGTAACATTGTTACCTGTCTATTTATACCATAACTTACCAAGAAATAAGCAAAATCATTCATTATGAAACCAAAACACAAGAGAAATAATTAAGACGTGTCATCAAATTGAATAGGCTGACAAACCAATATAAGTTCCTACAACGTTATTATATTGGCATTACACAAGCGTGTAGCAGTACAACAACCAATGGTATTATATAATTACAGTTATAATGGCAACAGAATTTAAGCAAGCAGTCACACCAACATGAGTGGTCATGTTCAAGCTTCAAAACTAGGATTACCCTTGATTTCATTCAGGGTGGATAATGCACTGCTTGTCTTGTAACGACCAATGATAAGAAAATGGAATGTTCTATATGATCTAGAACTAGAAAAGCTCTTTTAGCTCAAAAGTCACGGCGTGCACGTATGTATTAAATTAAAAATCTATTTTGATGTGTCAAAAACAATGTTTCGGGAAGCAAGGGCTGTATTACAAACCGATAAGGTTCAATACATGAGGGGATGACGTAAACCACAAAGGTTTTTAGTCCTCTAATCTCGGGTGGCAAATTATACATTTGAGACCTTGCTCAAAATCATCCATTTCAGATGATGATGCAAGAAACTTGTCGCCTTCAGTTCCATAGGCTTTATTGTCTGTAATTTTGAGGAGATAAAAATGGCAGATCCTTTTTCTCAAACAAGTTGCAACAACAGTCCTCAAGATATCTTGAGGGTTTCTCCGGATGCTGAAGTGTTAAGTGCTGAAGTGTTTCACATTCCCATAAAGCCCGCTGCCTAAGACCATCTTCAGGGCCTCTTAAATGACAAACCGACATTGTGTGATGTCAGTATGATGTGGACGGCGTGTTGATGCTCGCGGTAGAGACGACGAAACGATGGTTGCAACGTCCACTCGTATGTCATCAGCCGACCCGTTTCGCAGCCTCAATGACCATTCCAAAACTGACAGACAAAAATATTACCTGTCTCCTGAGGATGAAGTATGGGGATTGTTAATACTCACCTTTCGTGCTCAGTATCTTTAATGTCGTCAAAATTTGCTACTACAAGTGACATTTTAACAGAAAGAGAAAAAAGTTTTAAAATTTAAAAAACTGTTTTTGATTACAAGAATGTGAAATGAACATGTTATGAACTATCAAAAGCGGATTCTGGGGGTTTCTGTGTCATACAAACGAAGTCATAAGATGGGCAGAAGTATTCCCTGCATTTCTGCTTTATCACATTTCATAAACGGACGAGTTAAAACAATTCAAATGCTCAGTTATACCCACCAAGTGTATGGTGCTTAGGTGACGATGTTTTTAGGACATATTTACCACCCCAAAAATAATCAACTGTGACTTTACAATAATCATTGTGCTGGGTGTGTTTCTCTAAATGTACAGTTGGTTCGTGAATCATTTAGCACGCGGGAAGGCCTAATGAATTGTTTGGTCATTTATTTGACCATTGGTGAAAGGTAATCCTTATTGACTTGGGGACACACCTATCCCCGGAATGGATTAATTTTGTCTTGAAACGGTAAAAATCGTCAAAACTTCCCGTGAAGATCCGGGTTAGAATATTCATCATCAGTAACCCATCAGCTTGTCGTAAGAGATCGGGTGGTCAGGCTCGCAGACTTGGTTGACACATGGCATCGGTTCCCAATTGCGCAGATCGGTGCTCATGCTGTTGATCACTGGATTGTCTGGTCCAGACTCGATTATTTACAGACCGCCGCCATATAGCTGGGATATTGCTGAGTGCGGCGTAAAACTAAACTCACTCACCCACTTCTACATACCGTGTTTTGTCATATGAGCTTCATCGGCAACTTGTCGTTCATCCTGTCATAAACCTGGATTGTGAAAGA